TGGTGGCGATGGTGGTGTGCACGGCGCCAGACACCATGCCATCCACATCGCCTGCTGTTGCACACTCAGAGCAGCAGTCACAGGGATCATCACCATCTCTACTCACGGGTATCATTTGCAGAGCCGGGCGGATGGTGGCGATGGTGGTGTGCACGGCGCCAGACACCATGCCATCCACATCGCCTGCTGTTGCACACTCAGAGCAGCAGTCACAGGGATCATCACCATCTCTACTCACGGGTATCATCTGCAGAGCCGGGCGGATGGTGGCGATGGTGGTGTGCACGGCGCCAGACACCATGCCATCCACATCGCCTGCTGTTGCACACTCAGAGCAGCAGTCACAGGGATCATCACCATCTCTACTCACGGGTATCATTTGCAGAGCCGGGCGGATGGTGGCGATGGTGGTGTGCACGGCGCCAGACACCATGCCATCCACATCGCCTGCTGTTGCACACTCAGAGCAGCAGTCACAGGGATCATCACCATCTCTACTCACGGGTATCATTTGCAGAGCCGGGCGGATGGTGGCGATGGTGGTGTGCACGGCGCCAGACACCATGCCATCCACATCGCCTGCTGTTGCACACTCAGAGCAGCAGTCACAGGGATCATCACCATCTCTACTCACGGGTATCATTTGCAGAGCCGGGCGGATGGTGGCGATGGTGGTGTGCACGGCGCCAGACACCATGCCATCCACATCGCCTGCTGTTGCACACTCAGAGCAGCAGTCACAGGGATCATCACCATCTCTACTCACGGGTATCATTTGCAGAGCCGGGCGGATGGTGGCGATGGTGGTGTGCACGGCGCCAGACACCATGCCATCCACATCGCCTGCTGTTGCACACTCAGAGCAGCAGTCACAGGGATCATCACCATCTCTACTCACGGGTATCATTTGCAGAGCCGGGCGGATGGTGGCGATGGTGGTGTGCACGGCGCCAGACACCATGCCATCCACATCGCCTGCTGTTGCACACTCAGAGCAGCAGTCACAGGGATCATCACCATCTCTACTCACGGGTATCATTTGCAGAGCCGGGCGGATGGTGGCGATGGTGGTGTGCACGGCGCCAGACACCATGCCATCCACATCGCCTGCTGTTGCACACTCAGAGCAGCAGTCACAGGGATCATCACCATCTCTACTCACGGGTATCATTTGCAGAGCCGGGCGGATGGTGGCGATGGTGGTGTGCACGGCGCCAGACACCATGCCATCCACATCGCCTGCTGTTGCACACTCAGAGCAGCAGTCACAGGGATCATCACCATCTCTACTCACGGGTATCATCTGCAGAGCCGGGCGGATGGTGGCGATGGTGGTGTGCACGGCGCCAGACACCATGCCATCCACATCGCCTGCTGTTGCACACTCAGAGCAGCAGTCACAGGGATCATCACCATCTCTACTCACGGGTATCATTTGCAGAGCCGGGCGGATGGTGGCGATGGTGGTGTGCACGGCGCCAGACACCATGCCATCCACATCGCCTGCTGTTGCACACTCAGAGCAGCAGTCACAGGGATCATCACCATCTCTACTCACGGGTATCATTTGCAGAGCCGGGCGGATGGTGGCGATGGTGGTGTGCACGGCGCCAGACACCATGCCATCCACATCGCCTGCTGTTGCACACTCAGAGCAGCAGTCACAGGGATCATCACCATCTCTACTCACGGGTATCATTTGCAGAGCCGGGCGGATGGTGGCGATGGTGGTGTGCACGGCGCCAGACACCATGCCATCCACATCGCCTGCTGTTGCACACTCAGAGCAGCAGTCACAGGGATCATCACCATCTCTACTCACGGGTATCATTTGCAGAGCCGGGCGGATGGTGGCGATGGTGGTGTGCACGGCGCCAGACACCATGCCATCCACATCGCCTGCTGTTGCACACTCAGAGCAGCAGTCACAGGGATCATCACCATCTCTACTCACGGGTATCATTTGCAGAGCCGGGCGGATGGTGGCGATGGTGGTGTGCACGGCGCCAGACACCATGCCATCCACATCGCCTGCTGTTGCACACTCAGAGCAGCAGTCACAGGGATCATCACCATCTCTACTCACGGGTATCATTTGCAGAGCCGGGCGGATGGTGGCGATGGTGGTGTGCACGGCGCCAGACACCATGCCATCCACATCGCCTGCTGTTGCACACTCAGAGCAGCAGTCACAGGGATCATCACCATCTCTACTCACGGGTATCATTTGCAGAGCCGGGCGGATGGTGGCGATGGTGGTGTGCACGGCGCCAGACACCATGCCATCCACATCGCCTGCTGTTGCACACTCAGAGCAGCAGTCACAGGGATCATCACCATCTCTACTCACGGGTATCATCTGCAGAGCCGGGCGGATGGTGGCGATGGTGGTGTGCACGGCGCCAGACACCATGCCATCCACATCGCCTGCTGTTGCACACTCAGAGCAGCAGTCACAGGGATCATCACCATCTCTACTCACGGGTATCATTTGCAGAGCCGGGCGGATGGTGGCGATGGTGGTGTGCACGGCGCCAGACACCATGCCATCCACATCGCCTGCTGTTGCACACTCAGAGCAGCAGTCACAGGGATCATCACCATCTCTACTCACGGGTATCATTTGCAGAGCCGGGCGGATGGTGGCGATGGTGGTGTGCACGGCGCCAGACACCATGCCATCCACATCGCCTGCTGTTGCACACTCAGAGCAGCAGTCACAGGGATCATCACCATCTCTACTCACGGGTATCATTTGCAGAGCCGGGCGGATGGTGGCGATGGTGGTGTGCACGGCGCCAGACACCATGCCATCCACATCGCCTGCTGTTGCACACTCAGAGCAGCAGTCACAGGGATCATCACCATCTCTACTCACGGGTATCATTTGCAGAGCCGGGCGGATGGTGGCGATGGTGGTGTGCACGGCGCCAGACACCATGCCATCCACATCGCCTGCTGTTGCACACTCAGAGCAGCAGTCACAGGGATCATCACCATCTCTACTCACGGGTATCATTTGCAGAGCCGGGCGGATGGTGGCGATGGTGGTGTGCACGGCGCCAGACACCATGCCATCCACATCGCCTGCTGTTGCACACTCAGAGCAGCAGTCACAGGGATCATCACCATCTCTACTCACGGGTATCATTTGCAGAGCCGGGCGGATGGTGGCGATGGTGGTGTGCACGGCGCCAGACACCATGCCATCCACATCGCCTGCTGTTGCACACTCAGAGCAGCAGTCACAGGGATCATCACCATCTCTACTCACGGGTATCATTTGCAGAGCCGGGCGGATGGTGGCGATGGTGGTGTGCACGGCGCCAGACACCATGCCATCCACATCGCCTGCTGTTGCACACTCAGAGCAGCAGTCACAGGGATCATCACCATCTCTACTCACGGGTATCATTTGCAGAGCCGGGCGGATGGTGGCGATGGTGGTGTGCACGGCGCCAGACACCATGCCATCCACATCGCCTGCTGTTGCACACTCAGAGCAGCAGTCACAGGGATCATCACCATCTCTACTCACGGGTATCATTTGCAGAGCCGGGCGGATGGTGGCGATGGTGGTGTGCACGGCGCCAGACACCATGCCATCCACATCGCCTGCTGTTGCACACTCAGAGCAGCAGTCACAGGGATCATCACCATCTCTACTCACGGGTATCATTTGCAGAGCCGGGCGGATGGTGGCGATGGTGGTGTGCACGGCGCCAGACACCATGCCATCCACATCGCCTGCTGTTGCACACTCAGAGCAGCAGTCACAGGGATCATCACCATCTCTACTCACGGGTATCATTTGCAGAGCCGGGCGGATGGTGGCGATGGTGGTGTGCACGGCGCCAGACACCATGCCATCCACATCGCCTGCTGTTGCACACTCAGAGCAGCAGTCACAGGGATCATCACCATCTCTACTCACGGGTATCATTTGCAGAGCCGGGCGGATGGTGGCGATGGTGGTGTGCACGGCGCCAGACACCATGCCATCCACATCGCCTGCTGTTGCACACTCAGAGCAGCAGTCACAGGGATCATCACCATCTCTACTCACGGGTATCATTTGCAGAGCCGGGCGGATGGTGGCGATGGTGGTGTGCACGGCGCCAGACACCATGCCATCCACATCGCCTGCTGTTGCACACTCAGAGCAGCAGTCACAGGGATCATCACCATCTCTACTCACGGGTATCATTTGCAGAGCCGGGCGGATGGTGGCGATGGTGGTGTGCACGGCGCCAGACACCATGCCATCCACATCGCCTGCTGTTGCACACTCAGAGCAGCAGTCACAGGGATCATCACCATCTCTACTCACGGGTATCATTTGCAGAGCCGGGCGGATGGTGGCGATGGTGGTGTGCACGGCGCCAGACACCATGCCATCCACATCGCCTGCTGCCACCATGGCCGTGCCCAGGTAGTTGGGGTCCGTGATCATGTGCTCGTGCGCCTCCACTAGGGTCACGCCCTGGAGTGGCAAGGAGATGGGGAGTGGAGAAGAAAAGGGAGGTGATTTGGTCAGAAGGATGGTAGTTGAGGTCTTTTGAGACGTCTCTTGAGACGACCTTTGAGACGTCTCAAAAGTGGAGAAAAAAAGGGAGGTGATTTGGTGAGAAGGATGGTAGTTGGGGTCTGTGATCATGAGCTCGTGCGCCTCCATTAGGGTCACGCCCTGGAGAGAAGCCAAGAAGGAGGGGGAAAGGATGACAAGGGACGGAAACTACCGTCCCTTAGGGCGTGGGGTCAGGTTGTTCGTCACGGTGCTTAACAGTAAACCACAAAAACCATTCTCCACCGTGTGGGACCGGTCTGAGCCACGAAGCATGAACTATAGATGTACGACGACCTGACCACGCCCTTATCATGCGCTCGTGGGCCTCAATCAGGGAGGGTTGCGTTGAGCCCTGCAGAAAGCCAAGGAGAGGCGGAGTAGGTTCGTTCCGTACAGACGCCATGCGGCACCAGCCTACCGCATCAAGACCCACCTTGTCCTTGCGGGCTTGGTACAGCAGCTCAGCATAATGATCCAGGTTGGGAGCGGAGGGCGGGTAGACGATGTCAGCGCCAGAGACATCAACGCGCAGCTGCTTGGCGGCGGTGATGATCTCGTCGGGATGGCCTATGAGGGTCACCCGGCACAGCGACCGCCGCAGCACCTCCCCTGCTGCCTGGATTGTTCTCGGTTCCGCTCCCTGGGGAGAACAGGAGAGTTACAACGCAAGTGTTGAAGAAAGGTGAAATTGGAGAGAACTGTTAAGAGACAAGGGCATCAGAGCATGCTCTATACAACCCTCTAGTCATTTCACAAGGTGCGGTGCGGAGCAGGTGGTAAAACAAGTGTACCTCTGGCAGCACGATGTGGGACTGCGCGTCTCTGGACTTGTCAAAGATGGTGTGCTGGAGAGCTTGGGGTTCACCCAAAGTGGTTTCCAGAGGTGCAGTGCGGTGCAGTGGGATTGGAAAGGCAGCCTTACCTCCGGCAGCACGATGTGGGACTGCGCGTCTCTGGACTTGTCAAAGATGGTGTGCTGGAAGAGCTTGGGGTTCACCCAAAGTGGTTTCCAGAGGTGCAGTGCGGTGCAGTGGGATTGGAAAGGCAGCCTTACCTCCGGCAGCACGATGTGGGACTGCGCGTCTCTGGACTTGTCAAAGATGGTGTGCTGGAAGAGCTTGGGGTTCACCCAAAGTGGTTTCCAGAGGTGCAGTGCGGTGCAGTGGGATTGGAATGGCATCCTTACCTCCGGCAGCACGATGTGGGACTGCGCGTCTCTGGACTTGTCAAAGATGGTGTGCTGGAAGAGCTTGGGGTTCACCCAAAGTGGTTTCCAGAGGTGCAGTGCGGTGCAGTGGGATTGGAATGGCATCCTTACCTCCGGCAGCACGATGTGGGACTGCGCCTCTCTGGACTTGTCAAAGATGGTGTGCTGGAAGAGCTTGGGGTTCATGCGGAGGGGTCGCTCCTTGAATAACACCTGGTGTAGCATGCGCATGTCCACATTCTCGTGGAATATGACCTGGGGAAAGAGAGGGAGAGAGAGAGAGTGTGTGTGTGTGTGTGTGGAGGGGGGTTGTGGGGAGAAGGTGTGCAGAAGCAGCCCAGGCAGCATGCATGCAGCAGCATGTCCCCAGCGCAGGTGAGAAGGGGAGCAGCACTCGATCGATTGGTGGCAAGGGTATGTATATCCGGTCCACATCACACTTCTAGCACCCTGGAAACCCATGCATTCTGGCAGCACAGCCCTGCCCTGCCCAGGCACCCTGGCGGGCAGCAGCAGCAGCAGCACAGGCCAGTCCGGCCTGTGAACGCACCTCGGCGCGCTCGATCTTGCGGTGGGACGTGGCGTGCAGCTCGGGCTGGGCATTGGTGAGGGCGATGCACGTGTCGTGTGTGGCCTTGGGGGACAGCAGCACTGGGAGGGATACTCTCGTGGGCCGGCTCTGAATGGTCGAGGGGAGGAAGGGCACGGTGGGTACTTGAAGGTGGTGGGTGGGTGTGGATGAAGGGGATGACAGAGAGAGCAGCGGATTCGAGACAGGTTTAACGGGATTGGCAGTGCAATCCTTGGCTTGCCATGAATCGGCACATGCAATGTTTTATTTTTCAAATCAGCCCCAAACACTGACTAGCAGCTTCACAGTGGCACAATCGTCCCTGCAATGTTTTTCAACGTACCCGAATGAGCATGTCAACTTCCAAAGGGGGAGGCGACCCGCCAGTGAGCACCATGGCTGCCACCTGCGTGTGGGAGATGTGCACATGGCATGCATGGTGTGATGTGATGGCCGTGGTGAGGTGGTGGCGGTGATGGTGGTGGAGGTAAAGAGTGAGTGTGGAGGGAGGAGATATACACGCACACTATGAGCGGAAAAACACCAGCCGAGAAGCAACAGTACGAGCACACAGAGGCACAAAGACAGCCAGTGAGGTGAGTGCTACTGGGTTGCAAATCGTCTCAGCAGGAAAGCAGACGTGCAGACATGCGCAGTGCAGTGCCGTCTGTCAGCCATACCCCTTCACACCTGCAGTGCAGTGCTGCCTGCCTGCCTGCCTGCCTGCCTGCCTGCCTGCCTGCCTGCCTGCCTGCCTGCCTGCCTGCCTGCCTGCCTGCCTGCCTGCCTGCCTGCCTGCCTGCCTGCCTGCCTGCCTGCCTGCCTGCCTGCCTGCCTGCCTGCCTGCTGGCCTGCCTGCCTGCCTGCCTGCCTGCCTGCCTGCCTGCTCACCTGCAGTGCTGCCTGTGCACCTGCACAGGCCCCTGCCTGCCCTGCTGAACACACGCACGCACCTGGGTGCTGAGATGCGTCTCATGCAGGTCGATCATCCCCAGCAGAATATCTGGGCGGCTGGCATGAGCCACGACGAGGACTCCTTTGCCCGGGTCGTCAGAGGGCGGGATGTAGGAGAGCAGGTCTGCGAGATGGAGCGTGGCCACGAGCGTGCGCGTGACCTCGGTGGTCATGTTGTTGCTGTGGGGCACGTCGCCGTACAGCACATGCGCGTTCAACACCCGTGCCACGTCCTCCACCTGCGGGAAACGGGAGAGGTGTATGTGGGGCAGGCAGGGGCGGAAAAGGGTGGGGTGGATGAGCGGGGAAATAATTCCATGCAGCACATGCGCGTTCAGCACTCTCCCCACGTCCTCCACCTGCGGGAAATGGGAGAGGTGTACGTGAGGTAGGGAGAGGTGTACTTGAGGTAGGGAGAGGTGTACGTGAGGTAGGGAGAGGTGTACGTGAGGTAGGGAGAGGTGTGCGTGAGGTAGGGAGAGGTGTACGTGAGGTAGGGAGTGAAAGCGACAAGTCAAGGTGTGCCGGGCAGGGGGAGAAAGGGTGAACCGGAGGGGGGAAGGGAAGGGGATGCGCGTGCGGGTGATGTATTCCATCAGCCGCGCTGCGCCGCGGGATGTCTTGGGCATGCGGTAGATGAGCGCCCCGGCCACATCAATGCCTCGCTCTCTGCACTCTTGAGGCGCCTCAAAAGTCGTCAATGCCTCGCTCTCTGCACTCTTGAGGCGCCTCAAAAGTCGTCAACGCATCGCTCTCTGCACTCCCCACCACACCCCTTCCCTGCTCAGAGAGCTCAATTCCCAGGAGCCAGTGCTCAATGCTTTGTGTCCACCCCCATACAGCCATTTCCCATGCCACTTATCACCCTTCCCCTCCCGTGTCTCTCTCGTTCCCTCATCCTGAACCCTCTCCTAAACCCATGAAGCACCTGGAACGACTCGAGCGAGACATCCTCGGGAATGGCCCCCACAAAGGGGATGTGTGCGCGGGTGATGTATTCCCTCAGCCTTGCCGCCCCCCGGGATGTCTTGGGCATGCGGTAGATGAGTGCTCCCGCCACGTCGACACGCGACTGTCTCATGATACGCGCATGGTCCAGGATGCACCCTGCCGCCTCCTTCTCCCAGTCCCAGTCCTCAAACACGCCTCCTGACTGCAGCAGGGGCATGGGAAGCACGGAAGTACAGCATTGGGGGAGGAAGATGTGTATTTTGAGAGAATTTTTTACTGCTGTCTGGGTCGCAGTCCACAAACACACCACTGACTGCATGGGGGCACGGGAGACATGGGAAGTGTTCAAGTGAGGGGATGAGCGCGCCCGCCACGTCGACATGCGACTGCCTCATGATGCGCGCATGGTCCAGTATGCACCCCGCCGCCTCCTTCTCCCAGTCCCAGTCCTCAAACACCCCGCGTGATTGCACAGCGGGGAGGGGGGGCAAGGGGAGGCATGGGGGGGCATGGGGAGACGCACAGGAAGCATGGTAGTGAGTGAAGCACTGGGGCAAAAAGGGCACGATGGAAGAGTCCCACTCCAGTCACCAAACACGCCACCTGACTGCACGGGGGCTGAAACGTGGAAATCATACGATGCATGCAGAGATGCGTGAAGGAGAGGGGGGGTGACGCAGTAAACCGGATTGTGTTGTGCAGTGCAGATACAGTACAGTACCGGGATGGGATGTGCTTACCTCAGTGTGCTTGGGGTGGAATTGTGAGGCAGCACGGCCATCGGAGAGTAGCAGGGCAGGGGCTTCAAGGGCGGAGGCGATGAGGCCGTTGAGGGGAGAGGTGTTGGTGCCATCGCGCATGGACGTGCCCTCTATCACCACAAAGTCGTGGTGCCGCTTGCACCGCTCGTACGCTGGTGGATGCAGGCGCGCAGGGGGGTGGGGGAAAGAAGGGGGTTACAGGAAACCACTGTACAGACAGTCTGTACCAATTGCATGGACGTGCCCTCTATCACCACAAAGCCATGGTGTCGCTGGCACCGCTCATATGCTGGTAGGCGCAGGCCGGGGCAGGGGGGAAGGGGGTATGGGAAGAGGGGGGTATAGGAAGTAGTTGTACCAATCGCATGGGAGTGGTCACGTGGCCTCTATCACCACAAAGCCATGATACCAGTTGAGAAGTGGAGTACGGGTGGAGGATGCTGGTGGATGGGAGGTGGAGTATGAAACGAGGGTTGCAGGCAGACAGCTGCTGATTGGAACAAGGCGCTAGGTCAGGGAGGAGTTTGAGCTGAAAATCTGGTCTCGACGAGTTTTGACCCGGCGTGATGGTTTCAAGACATCTGACCTGAAATTGCGGTTTCAAAGAGCTTTTACCTGAGATGATGGTTTCAAGGAGTTCGTCTGTCTTCTCAGACGTCAGCAGAGCATACGCCTGGTCCTGGGTGAGCCCGAACATGTCCTCCTGAGGCGTGCGCATGCGAAACACCTCGTGGAACAGTTCCGCGCGGTTACCACCATGCGAAGTCTGGTCGATTGGGCGAAAGTAACCCACGCCTGGCCGCAGAACCTGGGGGATCGGGTCAGGGCCCCAGGCCATCCATTCATCATCATCAGACAGGGAGTCCGTGTTTACTTCAGTCAATGCATAATTAGGACTATGGATAGCGCTCACCCATCAACGTTAAGGGCCATGGTGATTCTCGCCATCGATACTCGGGATCATAGTTCATATCATGGTTAGTTCACTTGATGCATAACCCAGACAATGGCTTTCGCTTACCTGCAGCGCGTGAATGAGTCCGATGCTGAGAGCGGCGGAGTTCAGAGGAGCACCCACGCTGCAGACAAGGATATGGCGCGGCGGAGAAGCGAGAAAGGGGGGGGTGTGAAGAATGACAGAGACGCATTCGCAAATCAGAGCGCGACGGAAGTACATTTTCCGACAGTAGTGTTCTTTGAGACAGAGCTCAGACAGAGTTCTACCTAACCGATAATCATGTGCGCACACGAAGCCAGTACGCTACTAGCTGACGGTAGCAGAAATTAACGGCGTTTGATTGAAACGGAATCGACGGTGCTCCAATGAGACAAAAACGACGATTTTCAATAAAGCCATCTAATTCTCTATAAAGGGGAGGTCTCTCGAACGTACTCGGAGTGGTGGAGATAAATAGAGCCTTCGAATTGATGCGGTTTCTTGGAGTGCGACGCACCCACATTGCCAGGCGCGCTGCTTCTGCTCGAACCACTAATCGATCGGCTCCTCTGATCCCACGAACTTGGTCCCTTCGCTCGGTCACCAGCTCTCTCTTCTCTACCCACTCCGCTCGCGAAACTGCTCAAGCCTCGCGTGTGAGCAGCTGAAACGATCCGAGGACCTGCGCTAATTCCGTCAAGAGATCGGTGCAGACCGCGTGCTTCCGACGGCCCGACCGACGGGACCGTCTCGGGGAACACCTGCGCTTGCGATTGGTACTTTCGGCAGATATCGCTCCATCGGCCTCGCGCGGCGTTCCCTGACGAGGAGTTTAAGCTGCGGGTTTGGCCGTTGCGCGCTTTGCTAGCTTGCTGCACCAGCCGCTTCCCTAGCAATCGGAGCATGGCTCCCGGGACTGCGATGTGTCTGTGTAACAACCGAGTCTTTTGCGTTACAGTCTGCTAGCAATGCGTGGAAAGTTCGAAGGCCACGAGTTGACAATTGAGGGGAATTAAGACGATACAGGCCAAGACGATGCTCGCCAAGGCTATTTCGTGTCTCTGCCAGAGTCAGAGACCAGGACAGGGCAGCAAGAGCAACCCTTGGGAGTATCGACTCTTGAGATGATCAAACTTCGCAGAGTATCTATGGCAATGGGTCAATGGGGTCCAAGAGAACCGTCCCTAGTAGAGCGCTAGCTGGAAGTTCTCAAGGGCTTGCTCCCCCTATCTTGTCTTCCCTTGAGCCTGTCGGACGAGGTTTCAAGAAGACCTTGATCCGTTTCAAGCAGCTCGGGTATTCTTCTCCCAGAGAATAGAAAAATAGACTACATAATTTGAACATGGAGTACTTCAACGATTGGACAAATAAGCATTCAGGGATGCCCTTTGATTGGACAGTCGGGCTATTGGGCTGTGCTGCTTCGTTTTGCAAGATTCTTGGGGCTGACACCGAGAATCAAGTCACACGTCCGCCACGGGTCCAGCAACATCGGAAAATCAACGCCACGTCATGCCAGAAGAAGCATCTCCGAATTCCTTCCTACCCACCATCATGCATTTCCTCCTCCCTCCCCTGCTTGCCTGTGCTGGTTTGTTACACCATCCCTGACTGAATCACACAACACTCACCTAACACATCATTCAGAAGAACTCACATCAGTTTCTGTTGTCCGAGTCAAATGTAGTCAGGCCAAGTCAGCCGCTGATCCCCAGAAATTGTTAGAGTCCTCCGCTACCACCAGTTCTTCCTAAATCTGCAGTCGCGTTTTTGTTTTAGCTCGCCAAGCGTCGTCAAATCATTCGCTTTCTCGTGAAGCCTGACTGAGCATGGCGAAGTCGAAGACGATCCTTGTGCTGAACGCAGGGAGCTCGTCTCTCAAGTATGTCTCCTGCCTTGGTCTAACATGCTTCCTGATCCCTGGAACCAAGCGCCGTTCGGGAAAATCCGTTTTCCCGCATTGCGATGATTGCTGGTGTATTATTCACCCTTTTCTTTGAGAGAGCATTGCAGCTGGTATGCACCTTCACGTTTGGTTTAAGACTTTTTAGCGGAAACGATTTTCTTCGTCCCTCCATCTGCGCATGACTGAAGGTACGCGCTGTACGAATTCGCGGATGCGCTGAAGGCGAAGCTGGCGGTGTCGGGTCTGGTGGAGCAGATCGGCACTCCCAAGGGCGTCATCACGCACAAGGCCCTCGCCACCAACCAGACCGTCCATGAGGTCAGCCGCCGTCACCTTCATCGCTTTCATTGCGAATTCGGGACCACCCTCAATCAAATCAAACCGCTCTGCCTCCCCTCTGCTCTCTTCAACCACCTTCTTTCTCTTCAGCCACCTTTCTCGTTTATTCACTCATTCAGCTCACTCCGATAAAGTGCATCTCTGTGTTTGTTTACCGGCTCTGTGTTCTAACCTTTAACCATAAATACTCACTGTAACTCTCAATGCCTCACTGTAACCCTTCCTGTGTGACGTGCTTCAGAAAGCGGTGTTCAGCGACCACAAGGAGGCCATGTCGCACGCGCTGAAGCTGATGGGGATCAGCAAGGGCAGCAGCGCCGTGACGGCAGTGGGGCACAGAGCGGTGCACGGCGGTGAGGAGATCAACAAGTCGTGCATCATCACGGAGCACGTGAAGGACGTGCTCAAGAAGTTCACGCCGCTCGCCCCTTTGCACAACCCTCCCAACCTCCAGGTACGGCCTTGAACCGCACTACACCGCACAGACCCGCACAGAACTGAACCGAACCCTCAGAACCTCGTGCTAATGTGCTGGAATGGACATAACGATTGTGAAGTGCATGCAAGAATCAAATCACACACAGCCATGACCAGATATGATCAGTTGTGAAGGATAGGCAAAACACACTCAGACTCCTAGTCTCGCAAGCCACCCCAGCCCTTGCAAGCACACATACCCACAATGCAGGCACACACAACACATCCTATAGGACTGCGGGTTGGTCCTGGCGTGACCATGTCTCGCCCCCCAAGGTTCCGTTTCTGCCTTCTTAAATCCTTGACCACCACACAGGGCATGGCATGAGCGCAGGATGACTGGATGGCTGGATGGCTGGATTTCTGGCTTCCCATGCTCTATCCGCACCTCCTCCTGAACGCTTACTCCGCTTATGAGATTGATGGAGCTGCTGCATTGTTCGCATTCTACCTGCTTCATTGTTGGGTCCAACCACCATGCTCTGTACCTACTTAACCTGCCTGCAAATCTACCATCTCATCGCTCTTCCCCCCATTCCCCTTCCTATGTCATCTCCCCACCCCACTCCTCCCTCTTCCTCCGCGCTGGCATGGGCAGGGCATGGCGGTGGCGCAGGAGCTGCTGGACTGCCCGCAGGTGGTCCCCACCCCACATTCCCCCCGACCTCATCTCCCCACCCACCCCCTCCTCCTCCCTCCCTGACTGGCATCCCAAGGGCATGGCGGTGGCGCAGGAGCTGCTGGACTGTCCGCAGGTGGCCCCCGCCCCACACCCAACCCACCCCCTCTCCCTCTGACTGCCATGGGCAGGGCATGGCGGTGGCGCAGGAGCTGCTGGACTGTCCGCAGGTGGCGGTGTTTGACACGGCGTTCCACAGCACCATCCCGCCGCACGCCTACACGTACGCCCTGCCCTACCGCCTCTACAAGGAGCTGGGCGTGCGGCGCTACGGTTTTCATGGCACCAGCTACATGTACCTGCTCAGGGAGACGGCGAGGCAGCTGGGGAAGAAGGAGAGCGAGATGAACATGATCACGCTGCACCTGGGGGCCGGTGCGAGTATGGCGTGCATCAAGGAGGTGAGTGGGACAGCAGTGCTGGAAATTATGGGTTCACTGTGCGACTGGCCTTTGGGTCGACTCTAACGAAGGAAAGAGAGGTGAACACGATCACGCCTGGGAGTCGGTGCCAGCATGGAGAGCGAGTCCCAGGCATGCATCAAAGATGCGTTCCTGCATGTTTTAAGTCCACTTTGAAGTTATCTCGAAGGAGAGCGATGTGAACACGATCACGCTGCACCTGGGGGTGGGTGCGAGCATGGCATGCATCAAAGAAATGAGTGGGTCAACAGATTCAACGGACAATGGTTTCGTCTGTGTGGCTTGGCTCATTTCGTTCTTCGTTCTGTTCTTGTTCACCCCTTCTGGAATGAACCTCTTCTTAACCACTGTTATTTCTCCCTGGGTGAGTGCAGGGCAAGTGCATCGACACAACCATGGGAGTAACCCCCCTGGAAGGCCTCGTGATGGCCACTCGGTGCGGTGACATCGACCCAGCCATCCCCAAGATCCTCTCAGACCTCCAAGGCCTCTCCCCTGCTCAAATCGACTCTCTCCTCAACAAGGAGTCCGGCCTGGTGGGCATCTGTGGAGACAAGGACATGAAAGCAGTCGTAGACCGCACCGAGGTTGCTGAAGCTGCATGCATACCTGCAGGGGATGACCTGGAAGGGGGCGGCCGGCACCGGCTTGCTCTGGAGGTGTTTGTTCATCGCGTGAGGAAGTATCTGGGAGCGTATTTGGTCCAGCTGGGAGGGAAGGTGGACGCTATTGTGTTCAGTGCAGGGATTGGGGAGAGATCGGCGCCGGTGCGGGCGCGGGTGTGTGCGGGATTGGAGGCGTTTGGGATTGAGGTGGATAAGGCGCGGAATGAGGAGGGGAACAAGGGAGCACGAGAGATTTCTGTGGCGGGGGCGAAGATAAAGGTGATGGTCGTGCCGACTGATGAGGAGCTGTGCATTGCGCAGGAAACCCTGCGTGTGGTTGACGAGGCTCGCAAGGAAGAGTAGGACGGAAATGCGTGGCTTAGTCAACACTATTTCTCTCTCAGGTGGCATTATTTCGTCGCCCCGGTAATTATATATACAAATGCTAAAACGGATTACTTTATTGAACATAA